CCACATGTCTACCTCACTATGTGGGAAGATTTGCATAACGCCGCCCAAATGTTCACGCAAAGAAAGAAGGCGTAACTTTGATTCTTGCTGTAGTATTGTTGTTGCTGCCGCCATGTCGTGGAGAGGCTGTGTTTTTCGTTGTGAAAGCAAAACTACTTTGTTTGGTCTTCCAAAAATGGACACGACTAGAAATCAGTGGTTAAGTTGTATTTACAACACTGTTCCAGAACAGTTCAACCCAAATATTCAGATGTGTGCAGCGCATTTTATGGAGGACCGTTTCCTGATCCTGGGAGACTAGACTATATATGACCCCTTTAAATGTTTTATACATTTAGCATTTATTTGAAAACATAAGCTCTACAGCATTACCTGGACACTCACAGCCGCCTCCTTTCGCCCGATTGGCTACTGCAGCCGCGTACGAGCGCGCGTCCATAATCAACAGCCTCTGAGGGGGCGTGGCCTTTGGCTCCGGCTCTGCGCTCCCATTGGCTGCGTGCGGATTGCAGTCACTGAGCTCACCGGGGATTGTGTTTGTGTTCGATTGAATTGTGTTCGCAGCCCAATCCGCGACGCAGGCTTTAGCAATGGCTTGGACCAAATGCTCATCGTCAGTATTACGCCAACCCCACCAGCTGACCTCTGGCTGCCCGCATCGACCAATCACAGCGCCCGAACTCTGGTGTCTGGGTCAAAGGTTAAGGTAAAAATAACATTGGACAGGCATTAAAAACATTTCAGGTTCACAGCTTACTAGTGATGTAAGTTAACAGTTAACACTAAATAAGTCTGTTAATATACAAACAGTTAATAAAGTGAACAGATTACTAGTTAACAGTTTATTTTTCCAACATTCTGTTTTACTTTTTCTGGATTTAGTTTTAATGGTTAAATAAAAATGTAGTAATAAAATGTGTGTTAATTGAATTAACTAATTTATTGAAACCATGAAACTTCTACAATTTACAATTAACTAGTTTGTTAGTACTAGTTAAGTCTACATCAGAACATAATAGATTTGTCCCAGTTTTAAAAAAAAGTAAAATCATGGTTACAGTGATGCACAATGAAAATCTAAAAGTAGGGCCCTATGATTTTTGAGATTGTTCAATTTCAAGTTTCATGACATTTTAAAAGATTAATTCAATTGCCTTTTATGTTTTTTTTTTATATATAACCAAAATTTGCATTAAATCATAAATACAAAGCAATTAAAACAGACAACACAGATTTTCTGAAAAAATAAATAAATAAAATACATAATTTATTAACAAAAATGTTAATAAATTACTAAATTGTTAATGTTTTTAGGAATTTAATTGATTAGACATGCTTTTTGATTCTTAGAATTTAATTAAACAATTAAAACAGAATTCAGAAAAATCAAAACGGAAAACATAATTTGAGAAAAATAAAACAACTTCGGAAAAAATAAAATAGTTATCATAGGGTCCTAAAAATGTGTGTGTTTTTTTTTATTGTTGTTAAACTGTAGAAGTTTCATGGTTTCAATAAATTAGTTAATTCAATTAACATGCTTTTATTATTACTAAATTTAATTTAACCAATAAAACTAAATCCAGAAAAATGAAAAACAAAAAATAAAACAGAAGATGGGAAAAAAATAAAATGGATATTACAGGACCCCAAAAATTTACATTGTTAAACTTTTATTACATTTTTGTTGAAATGTGTAAATTTGATTGAATTAATTTAAATTTTATTAAAATAAATGTAAATTTGATTCAATTAATAGTTTCAATTAATTAGTTATTTCAAAGAACATGCTTTTTTATTTCTGAAAATTTAATTTTACCAATAAAACAGAATCCAGAAAAAAAAAATTTCAAAATAAAATTAAAATGGAAAAAAATTGGGGGAAAATAAAATGCAATTCTATATAAAATAAAATGGATATTATAGGGCCCTATACAAAAATGTAATTTTTGTTAAATGTTTTACAATTTGGTCAAATTTAAAATGGAAAATATAATTTTGCACAAAAAATAAAATTAATCTTATAAAAGTTAAAAAGCAGTTTCTTATAAAAATTAAAGGCCTTATAAAAGTATTTAAATTTTATTAAAATAAATGTAAATTTGATTCAATTAATAGTTTCAATTAATTAGTTATTTCAAAGAACATGCTTTTTTATTTCTGAAAATTTAATTTTACCAATAAAACAGAATCCAGAAAAAAAAAATTTCAAAATAAAATTAAAATGGAAAAAAATTGGGGGAAAATAAAATGCAATTCTATATAAAATAAAATGGATATTATAGGGCCCTATACAAAAATGTAATTTTTGTTAAATGTTTTACAATTTGGTCAAATTTAAAATGGAAAATATAATTTTGCACAAAAAATAAAATTAATCTTATAAAAGTTAAAAAGCAGTTTCTTATAAAAATGAAAGGCCTTATAAAAGTTAAAAAGCAGCAATGTGAAGCTCATATTTTTATTAAAGAACTTTAATTATTCTGTACCAATAATTATTCTATTGAAATCAGCTAAACAATGTTTGGTAATGCATTACTAACATAATTCCTGTGAGTTAGTTTCCTCCGAGTAAACAGTGTTTTATGGGTAGTTATGCAATCCCTTTCTAGTGTCCTTCAGCGTGTAATTAATGTGCTTACTGACTTCACACAATCAGGACAAGAGTCGTTTTTTTTCTAAAGAAGTAACCAGACGCCACAAACATTGTGCTGAAGTTTTATGCAGAAGTTAACACTGTCAATGGAGCCGAACTTGTACTGAACCCAGTACAGTCCTTTATCAAACTGAGAAACACCTGTAAACGACAGCCGGGATCCTCTTCCATGATCTGAACTCCGCCACGTTCTCCAACTCCTGGTCGCTGACCGCAGCAGGCACGATTATCTGCTCTGGGTAACTGGCACAAAGCCTGCGGGATCAGAAACACACACACACACACACACACACCGCGGGTGTGTTTGCGCGGGTCAGTCAGTCCGTGTTTAACACGTCACACACACTCTCACACACACTCACACACTCACTCACTCACACACACTCACTCACTCACACACACTCACTCTCACACACACACGCACACACACGCACGCACACACTCTCACACGCACACACACACTCTCACACACACTCTCACACACACGCGGCTCGTGATGAAGCTGCTCTGGCTGCTGGTGTGAGGAGGTGTGTGTGTTTCTGCCGTTTCACCTGTAGTTGCTGTTGATGTTGGAGATTCTCCAGGCACTGTGTGTGTCGAAGCCCATCCTCTCCAGCTCTCGCTTGAACCTCCGCTGGTGTCCTCCTGCAAACACAGAGCGAAACACACACGTCACCCAGGCCTTAAAATCACGTGAATATTGACCAGATTTTTTTTGTGTAGATGTTGCATTAAGCCAGACATCGGTCTGTCATTTCACGTTGCTTCATAAACGCCAGCATTGCAAAAGATTGTCCTGATAAACAGAATTACAGTGCATTCATCCTTATTTTTAATGCACAACACACAAGAGTGTGACAAACATGCAAAAAAATAAGAAATCAGGAAGGGGGCCAACACTTTTTCACACCACTGTATTTATAATATTATTATATATTATTATAATCTTATAATATTTTTATTATATTATTATATAACTATTATTATATAATACATGAAATATTTTTTTCAATATTTTTTTATCTTGTTATTTGTATTAGTTTTATTATTTTCTTAAATATTTCTATTTAGGTTTAATATATTTTTAACTTTCAGTTTTAGTTTTTATTTATTTATTTCCAGTTTTAGTGCTTCAGCTTCAACTTATTTCAGTTGCCAAGAGACAACATTTTTTAATTTTCATTAGAAAATTCTAATATTTATATTTTATTGTTGCGTTATTTCAATTTCAATTTCAATTGAATAGTTTTAGTTTTAGTTTTAGTTGATGATAACCCGCCTAGCATGACAAGTTGCAATGAATTGACATTTATTTTTTAATAAATTTAAGAGCTGCAGCAGAGGGGACAATTTAAATGAATTTAAACAAAAAATTAAAATGTTATTGCTGTAGTTTTATGGTGCTTTCTGTCATTTTTGGAGCTGAACAGCATTCATCCTCATTCACTTTCACTGCATGAGAAAGAGCAGCATGAACATTTTTTTTTAAACATCTTCTTTTGTGTTCCACAGAAGAAAGAAAGTCATACAGGTTTGGAACGACATGACACAGGAAAGAGTTAAGCACAAGAACCTGTAAAACACAAACGTCCAGTACCTGCACGGCAGATCCCATCATGCACCTCTCTGTCCTCTGCAGAGACGCTGGCGCTACACGAGAGGAAGGCGAAGGCGAAGAGCTCCTCCAGCGGCGCCGGCGGTCGAACGACTGCGCTGATCCTCCTCAGCCAATCCTGACACTGCTCCACCGACAGGAAGTTACACCTGAACACAAACCCTGCAGGTTACCATCTACTTCCCTAATGTAGAAATCAGAGAAAAAGTCAGAATTCTGGAAAAAAAAAGTCAGAATTGTGAGATATAGAAATCAGAAAAAAAGTCAGAATTCTGAAAAATAAAATGAAGTATTGTGAGATATAGAAATCAGAGAAAAAAGTCCGAATTCTGAAAAAAAGTCAGAATTGTGAGATATAGAAATCAGAGAAAAAAGTCAGAAGTTGAGATATAAATGCTAAATTGTGTGATATAAACTTATATAGTTTGATTTGTGAGATATACACTTGTAATTTCGAGAAAAAAGTTGCAGTTACCTTTTTTGTTTTCTTCTTGCAATTCTGACTTTTTTCTAAGAATTGCGAAAAGTCAGAATTGTGAGATTCAGAAATGCGAGATATAAACTTTTATTTAGATTTATCCCATAAAGTCACAATGAAAGTTTTTATTTTTTATTCTGTGGCCGAAAAAAAGATGAAAACTCAGAATTCTGAGGAAAAAGTCAGACTTGCAGGTTCTGACTTTTTTCCTCCGAAATGTGAAATAAAGTGTGAATTGTGAGATGAAAACGTGCTTCTGTACATTATTCCAAAGGAACAGAGTTTGTAACTTTATAATAGGTTTAATGCACAGTGCAGCACTGAAGACACTGTGTACATACACTACCGGTTAAAAGTTTGGGATCAGAACTATTTTTAATGTTTTTTACAGGAGTCTCTTATGCTCATCAAGGCTGCATTTATTTGATCAAAAATTCAGGAAAAAATGTAATATTGTGAAATATTATTATGATGTAAAATAACGTTTTTCTATTTTAATAAAATAGAATATAATTAATTAAATATAATTTATTTCTGTGATGCGCAGCTGTATTTTCAGCATCATTCCTCCAGTCTTCAGTGTCACATGATCTTCAGAAATCATTCTAATATGCTGATTATTATCAGAGCTGGAAACTGTTGCTTCTTTTTAAAATTTGTTTGGAAGCTGCGATACTTTTTTTTCAGGATTCTTTGATGAATAAAAAGTTAAAAAGAAGAGCATTTATTTAAAATAGAAATCTTTTCTAACAATATACACTGCCGTACAAAAGTTTGGGGTTAGTACATTTTTATTCTTTCTTTTTCTGAAAGAAATTGAAACTTTTATTCAGCAAGGACGTGTTAAATTGATAAGAAGTGATAGCAAAGATTTATATTGTTAGAAAAGATTTATATTTTGAATAAATGCTGTTCTTTTTAACTTTTTATTCATCAAAGAATCCTGAAAAA